GTGACCTAGGGGAGGCCTAGCAGGTGGTCCTGGGTTGTCTCTATGAGAGACTGCTTAGCTGGGCGCCGGAGGGAAGTCTCGGTCCTGAACGGAGGCGACTGCCTCCGGTCCTCTCTGCCTCCTCTCGAGCGGGCCTGGTGGTGTAGTAGCTGGCCCTTACTCCTTACAAGACACACTCTCTCTCTCTGTCTCTCTCAAGGCAGGCCTGGTGGTGTATGTAGCTGGCCCTTCCTTCTTTACAAGACACCTCTCTCTGTCTCTCTCTGGGCAGAGGAGGACTAGGGCGATCCCTATATGTTGGGAGGCGAGCCGTCAGGTTCAAGCGCCCGATCGAGGCTTGGCGTGAAGTGTCTCCTTACATTTGCCCTCGCTAATGTAGGGTCAGGCCTGGACTTCTTCTGTGGTGTAGGCCATTGTGTATGTGGGAGAGAGCGGTGCCCCATACATGTGTGACATGTGAGGGGGCCTGGCGCTGATTATAACCACTTGGTCCCAGGCGGCTGAGAGTTACCCTACGCCAGCCTCCTAATGTCAAGATCAATCTGGACTGTCTCTGAGATGCAAGCTGTGGTCTGACAACCCACCCATCACTACAGTGCTGCGGTCTAGACAACCCATCACTACAGTGAGAGTTGATTACTGATAGAATGAGTGTATGAGTGAGTGTTAGTGAGTTTGTCACTATGAGTGAGTGTATGAGTGATTGTTAGTGAGTTTGTCACTATGGGTGAGTATGAGTGAGTGTATGGGTGAGTGTTAGTGAGTTGGTCACTATGAGTGAGTGTATGGGTGAGTGAGTGAGCCTCTGCTGACGGCCGAGTAAATATTTCAATTTTATTCTCATCTTTTAAAATGTTAGTTTTTGCATAATGTAATATTACTGATAAGTAATTAGTCTTAGTATGCCTTATGATAACAGTAAGTATATATCAAATGCGTCCTCCGAAAGCGTCAATTTGCTACCAGAGTTTAACAGTTAATTCTTGTATAATATTTCTGATAAACTTCCTACGTGTTCATGTTGGAAATAATTAATGTATGTATCTTTATATAATTCAGCTAAACATCTTTATTATAAAAACGGTCATTATGAATAAACTCATTTATAAATACATCATTACTTGAGAAAACTAAAACCAACAAATTCAGAATAGCCAATCAGGTGTAAACTGTTGAGGAGGGCATTTTCCCCAGCTGGGACACACACACACACACACACACACACACACACACACACACACACACACACACACACACACACACACACACACACACACACACACACACACACACACACACACACACACACACACACACACACACACACACACACACACACACACACACACACACACACACACACACACACACACACACACACACACACACACACACACACACACACACACACACACACACACACACACACACACACACACACACACACACACACACACACACACACACACACACACACACACACACACACACACACACACACACACACACACACACACACACACACACACACACACACACACACACACACACACACACACACACACACACACACACACACACACACACACACACACACACACACACACACACACACACACACACACACACACACACACACACACACACACACACACACACACACACACACACACACACACACACACACACACACACACACACACACACACACACACACACACACACACACACACACACACACACACACACACACACACACACACACACACACACACACACACACACACACACACACACACACACACACACACACACACACACACACACACACACACACACACACACACACACACACACACACACACACACACACACACACACACACACACACACACACACACACACACACACACACACACACACACACACACACACACACACACACACACACACACACACACACACACACACACACACACACACACACACACACACACACACACACACACACACACACACACACACACACACACACACACACACACACACACACACACACACACACACACACACACACACACACACACACACACACACACACACACACACACACACACACACACACACACACACACACACACACACACACACACACACACACACACACACACACACACACACACACACACACACACACACACACACACACACACACACACACACACACACACACACACACACACACACACACACACACACACACACACACACACACACACACACACACACACACACACACACACACACACACACACACACACACACACACACACACACACACACACACACACACACACACACACACACACACACACACACACACACACACACACACACACACACACACACACACACACACACACACACACACACACACACACACACACACACACAGTGTTTTTATTAGTATATATATAGAGGGTACAGGTATTAATAAGGACAGATTATTACATTAACTTATCTTAGATACATACAGTGGGGTATGCTATAACGAATCTAATTGGTTCTAGAACCTTGTTCGTTATAGCATTCGTTCGTTATAGGATTAATCCGTTCCAGGCCCCCAAATACAACCACTTAACACTGAAAAATATAATATAAAATTGTAAAAAAGTGCATAAATATGCATCTAAACCCCTGAAATAACCAATATCATTAATACTTGTAATAAAAAAACAATAAATTAGTAAAAAAAAAAAAAAAAAAATTTTTAAATAATGTTCGTTGTAGGAGTTTCGTTCGTTATAGCATTCTCAATTTTATAGGTAAAACCGTTCGTTATAGGAATATTCGTAGTAGGATCCGTTCGTTATAGCATACCCCACTGTAGTACTATACTGTATTGTTTATAGAAGGTACAGGTATTAATATGGACAGATTATTACAGTAACGTATCTTATATACATAGTACTATACTGTATTGTATATAGAGGGTACAGGTATTAATATGGTCAGATTATTACAGTAACATATCTTATATACATAGTACTATACTGTACTGTATTGTATATAGAGGGTACAGGTATTAATATGGTCAGATTATTACAGTAACATATCTTAGATACATAGTACTATACTGTATTGAATATAGAGGGTACAGGTATTAATAAGGACAGATTATTACAGTAACTTATCTTAGATACATAGTACTATACTGTACTGTATTGTATATAGAGGGTACAGGTATTAATATGGTCAGATTATTACAGTAACATATCTTAGATACATAGTACTATACTGTACTGTATTGTATATAGAGGGTACAGGTATTAATATGGACAGATTATTACAGTAACATATCTTATATACATAGTACTATACTGTACTGTATTGTATATAGAGGGTACAGGTATTAATATGGTCAGATTATTACAGTAACATATCTTAGATACATAGTACTATACTGTATTGTATATAGAGGGTACAGGTATTAATATGGTCAGATTATTACAGTAACATATATTATATACATAGTACTATACTGTATTGTATATAGAGGGTACAGGTATTAATAAGGTCAGATTATTACAGTAACATATCTTAGATACATAGTACTATACTGTATTGTATATAGAGGGTACAGGTGTTAATATGGTCAGATTATTACAGTAACATATCTTATATACATAGTACTATACTGTACTGTATTGTATATAGAGGGTACAGGTATTAATATGGTCAGATTATTACAGTAACATATCTTAGATACATAGTACTATACTGTATTGTATATAGAGGGTACAGGTATTAATATGGTCAGATTATTACAGTAACATATCTTATATACATAGTACTATACTGTATTGAATATAGAGGGTACAGGTATTAATAAGGTCAGATTATTACAGTAACATATCTTAGATACATAGTACTATACTGTATTGTATATAGAGGGTACAGGTATTAATAAGGACAGATTATTACAGTAACTTATCTTAGATACATAGTACTATACTGTATTGTATATAGAGGGTACAGGTATTAATATGGGCATATTATTACAGTAATGTATCTGTACTAATTAATGAAAAACAAATAAACAGTGGAAACAGTGAGGGACCCTTTTGCAGGGCAGGGTTACAATCACCCCCCCCACCCCCCTCTCCCTCAACTGGACCCTTCTCCCAGGAGGGGGAGGTTAACACTTGCTCAAGGAATAAAAACAAAGGAGTTTAGTTTCCCTCATAAAATGTCACTGATTTTACTTAAGAAAATATAATTTTCATTGCTGAATTCTTGTAAGATAACGATTAATTTACGTATAAACATCCTATATTTTCCAACAGACGTAATAATCTTATTAATTAACTTTAGTACATTTGAGCACACACACACAACCACACACACACACACCACATACACATACTTCACACACACGCTTACGATCCATTTTGAAAATTTTTAGTTGTAAATTGTAACCTAACCCCCGAGGTAATCCGCATAAGTCTACTGTAAATGTTAATTATTGTTTTTTTTATTTTTCATTTTTAATTAGACCCAAAAATAAGTCTTTAAAACTGCCTGGCCATCAAAGATGAACAATATTCTCATCAGCTCCCTCAATGTCATTTTGAGTGTTTTCATTTCATGCCATTATAACCACACTAATATTTAATGCTTATATCTTTAGACTTCCACCAATTATCTTATATTTGTTGTTTAATAATGTGACCGACAGTCAAAATGAGAAAACAATGATATGCACTGAAATACAAGTTCCTCAAATTAATAATTCAACAAGTCCACAATGTTCTCAGGATATTTTATCACTTGTTCATCTTTATTCTTCAATTTACGGTAAACTAAACCATTTTAGTTCAACACCGAAGGGGTAAAAGTAATCTGGCTGTACATAAAGGAATAAGATCTATAATGGAATTGTTTATCAAAGTTGCTGCCCACTCCTTTTCTTATTTACATTGTGAGGATAAACAGTTGGGTTCTCAGTATATATTTATTAATATAAACATACACAAGCTTGCATTACACACAAAATGTTAATAGGGTTTCAGAATTCTTCTTCAAAAAACTCAAATTTCTCCTTAAGGCTCTCTAATTTTATAAAAGATGGAAGAACCATCTCCGATTGAAGTGGATCTTCTGGTATACTTAAGATTGACGGTTGACCATCAACAGGTTCATCTTTAACTCCATGACCTGAACAGTCTATGAAATGTGTTGATCTACTCACTACAAGGTCATTATCTGCTAGTTTACACACAGCCTTTGTCTTACACTGGTAAGAGAGGCTATACTCTTCTTCACTATGAGAGGAAGTGGGCAGTTCCCGACAATTATAGTGGCTCGGCTCTAGACTGTTCAGGTCATTACCCGCTCGTTTTTCTGTTGTGTGGCTCCCAAGAGCACCAAAGTGGTGGTTCCTCTGGGTGAGTCTCCTCCCACTCCCTGACTTCTTCTCACCACATTTTTTCAGCCTTTGTTTATTATCATATTTTTTGTGGCATTTATTATCTTTTGCATGAACTTTACTGTAAGAAGTCAGATGAGTTCTACTATGCCTTGTGAGACTCACTCTACTGGGAAAACATTTTTGACAATCACAACACTGAAATTTTTCTCTTCTATGAACTCTTAGGCACTTCTGTGTGAAGGATTTATTGCATTTTGTAAATTGATATGGTGTCTCTCCTGTGTGAACCCTCATATGTTGAACTAAACTAGATTCATGGGTAAATGAACTAGTACATTCTGAACATTGGAACTTCTCTTCTGTGTGAACCCTCATATGTTGTACTAAACTAGATTTCTGAGTATATGAATTAGTACATTCTGAACACTGGAACTTCTCTCCTGTGTGAACCCTCATATGTTGTACTAAACTAGATTTCTGAGTATATGAATTAGTACATTCTGAACACTGGAACTTCTCTCCTGTGTGAACCCTCATATGTCGTACTAAATGAGATTTCTGAGTATATGAACTAGTACATTCTGAACACTGGAACTTCTCTCCTGTGTGAACCCTCATATGTTGTACTAAACTAGATTTATAAGTAAATGAACTAGTACATTCTGAACACTGGAACATTTCTCCTGAGTGAACTCTCATATGTTGTACTAAACTATATTTATCAGTAAATGATCTAGTACATTCTGAACAACGGAACTTCTCTCCTGTGTGAACCCTCATATGTTGTACTAAATGAGATTTCTGAGTATATGAACTAGTACATTCTGAACACTGGAACTTCTCTCCTGTGTGAACCCTCATATGTCGTACTAAATGAGATTTCTGAGTAAATGAACTAGTACATTCTGAACACTGGAACTTCTCTCCTTTGTGAACCCTCATATGTTGTACTAAATGAGATTTATAAGTAAATGAACTAGTACATTCTGAACACTGGAACTTCCCTCCTGTGTGAACCCTCATATGTTGTACTAAACTAGATTTATAAGTAAATGAACTAGTACATTCTGAACACTGGAACTTCTCTCCTGTGTGAACCCTCATATGTTGTACTAAACTAGATTTATAAGTAAATGAACTAGAACATTCTGAACACTGGAACTTCTCTCCTGTGTTTAAAAGTGTCTCTGATGGGTGATCTCCCACATGCTTTACAAGACAGTCTCTTTTAAAATCTCCATGGCAATGTGAACCTTGAAGGGGGTCTTCAGTGTCACCTTCCATATTCATTGTTTCTTTCCCTAAATATCTTGGGCTTGTGGTCTCTCACATGGTGGTCATCTTGGTGTACTTGGCCTTACTGAACCCCTTAATTAAGATTTTAAAATGCACTCCCTGATGAAAAAGCTTTCCTATGATAATTAACACACTACCCAGTGTTGAATATCCTGCTCCAGCACTCACATGAATATGAAAACCGACCAACTAACACATGAGTGTGGAGTGTGGCTATAAAACCAACCAGCTAACACATGAGTGTGGAGTGTGGCTATAAAACCAACCAACTAACACATGAGTGTGGAGTGTGGCTATAAAACCAACCAACTAACACATGAGTGTGGAGTGTGGCTATAAAACCAACCAACTAACACATGAGTGTGGAGTGTGGCTATAAAACCAACCAACTAACACATGAGTGTGGAGTGTGGCTATAAAACCAACCAACTAACACATGAGTGTGGAGTGTGGCTATAAAACCAACCAACTAACACATGAGTGTGGAGTGTGGCTATAAAACCAACCAACTAACACATGAGTGTGGAGTGTGGCTATAAAACCAACTAACACATGAGATTGTGGAATATGGCCGTGAAACAATGTTAAAGGTGACCGTGAAAGTTTCTCTTTACATCAAATCATTAAACAAATGATTTAAAGAAAAATTTTCATCTGAGTTAACTTAAAATGAAGTAAGGCTGACAGATAAACAGACTGTGAGGAAAGTACTACTTGGCGCCTCGTCTTTTACAGTTGTATCTCCAAACATCGCTTAATGTTCATTCACCTTTAGTTGACTGCCATAAAATCTTTATTAAGAATATTTGGGATGAGCAAAATAGCACAACACTGTTCACTTTCCTGGATGCTGATGGTGATACTTGGTACTAGAGACATGAAGAAGACTGTAGAAAAGGTGACTTAATACTTTCACTCTTGTGCTGACACCACTGGACCTGAGGTTGTCAGCAGAGTTCAGAAGGTGTAAACAGCACCAGCTAAGAGAAGTACTCTCTACAAAACCTGAAAGTGGTAAAAATTATAAACAAAATATATAAGACTTGACTCACACAATGAATCATCTATATCTTGATCACTTGGACCTCTACTCAAACTATCTGCTGAGTCTTGTAATAACAGATTCACCTTCTCTGTTTTCTACAAGGAAAAATAATTAGGATGTTAGCAAGACAGTGGAGTGAGAATTTCTCAGAGAGTGAGGGCAGAGTCTTGATACAGCTATAATAGAAACAGTCTGCTCCACTACTGCTAAATACATACAGAATCTTTTTAGTCAGAGGAAAGTGTGGAGCACATAAAGGTAGTCACCTACTTGCTGCTTCAGTACATTCAAGATTATATTGGTAAATGTTAAGGAAACAAGGCATAAACCCAATTATAGTACAGTATAGTATAGTATATTATAGTATAGTATAGTACAGTATAGTATAGAACAGTACAGTATAGTACAGTACAGTATAGTATAGTATAGTACAAGTGATCGTGGGCCCTTCGTGCCCGGTGGCGAGTCCGGTGGTACAGTTTACCGAGGCAAGAAAGTTCGAACACTCAGGCTTGGCTAGCGCACAACCGGCGTCCACTGACAGCATACAGCGACATCATTTTCCAGCGTAAATAAAATGGTTAATTAATGCCTTCCTAAAGAAACCATCGACATGGGACCAGGTTTGTTCCATTCTACGAATTTTTTGCAATTTTTCCACCAAGTTTGATGAAAAACGATTGTGCCGTTTCAGCCGCCCATAACAGACACACACACAGACACATGGCTATTCCTATAATATAGTAGACAAGTGATCATGGGCCCTTCATGCCCGGTGGCGAGTCCGGTGGTACAGATTACCGAGGTTGTTATAATCATGGTCCTGGTTGTTATAATCATGGTCGTCGTTGTTATAATCATGGTCGTGGTTGTTATAATCATGGTCGTAGTTGTTATAATCATGGTCGTGGTTGTTATAATCATGGTCGTGGTTGTTATAATCATGGTCGTCGTTGTTATAATCATGGTCGTGGTTGTTATAATCATGGTCCTGGTTGTTATAATCATGGTCGTCGTTATAATCATGGGCGGTTGTTATAATCATGGGCGGGTTGTTATAATCATGGGCGTGGTTATTAATCATGGTCACGTTATAACTGGTGGTCGGGTTGTTATAACTCGTGGCGCAAGATAATCGCGGTGTATAATCATGGTCGTCGGTTATGATCATATCGTGGGTTATGATCGTGGTGTTGTTATACTCATGGTCGTTGTTATAATCATGGTCGGTTGTTATAATCGTGTATCGGGTTGTTATAATCATGTCGGTTGTTATAATCATAGTTTGGTTGTTATAATCATGGTCGTGGTTGTTATAATCATGGTTGGGTGATATATCATGTCGGGGTGGATAATCGTGGTCGGTTGTTATAATCATAGTTCTGGTTGTTATAATCATGGTTGTGGTTGTTATAATCATGGGTCGTGGTTGTTATAATCATGGTCGGGTTGTTATAATCATGGTCGTGGTTGTTATAATCATAGTTCTGGTTGTTATAATCATGGTTGTGGTTGTTATAATCATGGTTGTGGTTGTTATAATCATATCGGTTGTTATAATCATGGTCGTGGTTGTTATAATCATGGTTGTGGTTGTTATAACTCGTGGTCGTAGTTGTTATAATCATGGTCGTGGTTGTTATAATCATGGTCGTGGTGTTATAATCATGGTCGTGGTTGTTATAATCACGGGTTGTTATGATCACGGTCGCTGGTTGTTATGATCACGTCGCTGGTTGTTATGATCATCACGGTCGTGGGTTATGATCACGGGTCGTGGTTGTTATAATCACGGTCGTGGTTGTTATAATCGCGGTCGGGTTGTTATAATCATAGTTCTTGTTATAACATGGTCGTGGTTGTTATAATTGGTTCTGTTGTTATAATCATGGTCGTGGTTATAATCATGGTCGTGGTTGTTATAATCATAGTAGTGGTTGTTATAACTCGTGGTCGTGGTTGTTATAATCATGGTCGGTTGTTATAATCATAGTTCTGGTTGTTATAATCATGGTCGTGGTTGTTATAATCATGGTCGGGTTGTTATAATCACGGTCGTGGTTGTTATGATCACGGTCGTGGTTGTTATGATCACGATCGTAGTTGTTATGATCACGGTCGTGGTTGTTATGATCACGGTCGTGGTTGTTATGATCACGGGTCGTGGTTGTTATAATCACGGTCGTGGTTGTTATAATCATGGTCGTGGTTGTTATAACTGTCATGCGGTTGTTATAATCATAGTTCTGGTTGTTATAATCATGGTCGTGTGTTGTATGATCATTGGCGGTCGGTTGTTATGATCACGGTCGTGGGTTGTTAAATATGGTCGTGTTGTTATAATCATGGTCGTGGTTGTTATAATCGTGGTCGGTTATTATAATCATAGTTCTGGTTGTTATATTCATAGTCGGGTTGTTATAATCATGGTCGCGTTTATAATCATGGTTGTTATAATCGGCGGGTTGTATATAACTGGCGGTCGTGGTTGGTATAATCATGGCACGGGTTGTTATAATCATGGTCGTGGTTGTTATAATCATAGTTCTGGTTGTTATATTCATAGTCGGGTTGTTATAATCAGGGTCGTGGTTGTTATGATCACGGTCGTGGTTGTTATGATCACGGGTCAGGGTTGTTATAATCATGGGTCGTGGTTGTTATAATCATGGTCGGGTTGTTATAATCATAGTTCTGGTTGTTATAATCATGGTCATGTTGTTATGATCATGGTCGTGGTTGTTATGATCACGGTCGTATTTGTTATAATCATGGTCGTGGTTGTTATAATCATGGTCGGTTGTTATAATCATGGTCGTGGTTGTTACAATCATGGTCGTGGGTTGTTATAATCATAGTTCTGGTTGTTATATTCATAGTCGGGTTATAATCATGGTTGTGGTTGTTATAATCATGGTCGTGGTTGTTATGATCATGGTCGTGGTTGTTATACTCATGGTCGTGGTTGTTATGATCATGGTCGGGGTTGTTATAATCATGGTCGTGGTTGTTATAATCATGGTCGTGGTTGTTATAATCATGGTCGTGGTTGTTATAATCATGGTCGTGGTTGTTATAATCATGGCCGTGGTTGTCATAATCATGGTTATGGTTGTTATAATCTTGGTCGTGGTCGTTATACTTACAGTATCTAATATACTATAGGAAGGAATAGAATAAAGGTTAGAATAATTAGTTAGAAATATTCGCCATAAGGAGAGGTTAAAATCATAAAAAAAAAATTATTATGAATCACCGATGATCATTCCGAGATAAATTATATTATGAAGAGAAGTGACCTTGATTCTGGTTAGATTCTTCACCATCAGCAAGTCATCACCTGTGTTAAGTCATTACAGTCATCATCTACGTTAGTCAGTTTTAGGCCCATCTCATGACTAACCCACCATCGATGTTCTTTCAGCCATGAGGGTGTTGGTTTTCAATGCGCCTTATTTATGCTGGTGGACGAAGACCTCCTACCTACTCGACGAGCTATGGTCAATCTGGTGTTATTCTTGTTTATAAATGCCTCTAATCTGTCTCAAGTCTATCCGTTCTGTCTATTGCCATCCCAATTGTCTGTTAGTCTGTAGTGTTTGAATGTAAGCCCGCCTGTACTCTTTGTGGTCGTCAAATCTGTCTGTCTTA